CATCATCATCATCATCATCATCATCATCATCATCATCATCATCATCATCAGCTAGCCATACCCAACCCCAGGGCCAACGCCCCCCGAGACTCGAACCAGCGACCTAGTTAGTTAGAAGTCTAACGCTCTAACCACCGCGCCACGGGCTCGTTGCAATATACTTTAACATTTGTGGTTTTTGTTATCTAGGAAAAGGCACAATGAATAGTTAGGAAATAAGAGCGTAATATAACAGAATAAAAGCAACTACAACTTGGTAACCTACAACAGACTGTTGGTTGGCATTTTCGCTTTGCAACAAAGCAGTTGTCTGCTGAGCATCCGAGAGGGCGTTGAGGAGGCAATCGCGTTCCTCGGTGATTGCTGCCAGTCGCCTCTCCAATGAAGCCTTGTCCTCCTTCAGCTGAGAAATCTACAGACACATTAAAAAGAAATTGAAGCAAAAACAGATTCACACCCCGGTCACGCCTTCGCCCAAAAATCCCCGCATTCACCTCAGCCCGCAGAGATTCAATCTGCTGCACATGGCATTGGATAGACGCTCGTGAGGAGATCAACTGGTCCTGCAGCTCCTTTGCCTTAACTGTCAAACTGGAGGCATGCCGCTTCGACTCCTCCAGACTCTCCTCGAGGGCGGTGTTGCGTTCAGAGAGGCTCTGCATCGCCTCTTGGTGAGTCTGATCCCTCTGCCTGAACAGCCGTTTCTGCGATTGGACATCTTCGCGCAAACTGAGTACTTCACCTTGCAGTTCCTTTAGTTGGGCATCGTAGTCACTCTCCACGGCGATGAGACGCAGACGGACAGACTCACGTTCCCGTTGAATGTCCTAGGTCAACCAATAAAAAAATAGGTCTGTAGGGGTCAGGATCACAGGGGAGGACAAAAAAGAAGTGAAAAATACACGAGGAGAAGCTCAAGCTTTACATGGATTTGCTGGTGCAACTGTTCTAGCAGACGCTGGTTTTCCAAACGCAATTGCAGGTTCTCCAGGGCCAAGTGTTGAGAATCTGGTGTTGAAATACCGTTCGCTGACAGGTCGGTTATTTCATTTTCGGGAGAGCCATCGGCGAAGTACTGGTTAGGAGAATCCATTAGGTAGTAACGGAGTCTAAAAAACCGTAAAAATGGCAGGCGTAGGGGAAGGAGATTAAATATGGGGTTGTGCAACTAGAGGCATTTACTTTGAGGCATAGTAAGTAGACTGTTAAAATGGATGAACTTCCTAAAAAGTGACGAGAGAGTGATCTGCACATAACAGTGCCGCCTTTAAAAGCAAGACGAAACTTTTCATTAGTTTTCAATGACAAGAATGTACGTCCTGAGCAACATGGAAAAATCAACTAAGGAAGTGAAAAAAATTAAAAATATCCCAAAATGCATTACGTTTAATTGCAAATCAGTTATAAACTTCAGCTGGTTCGACTACGTGTTTATTTATTCTAAAAAATGAAAAAGGCCGTTTTTGTGTAGTAAAAAGCACATCCACGGAGACAGGGAAGTGCCTAAATTACCCAGGAGAAGAAAAGCATAACAATAAAGCGAGCACTTTTTTAAATTATGTAAAACAAAGTTTTTAAAATTTTCTCCTGTTAAACTTGAAAACTTTATTCGGTAAATATACGTTTCATGCAGTTCAGCATCGGGCCGGTACAATTACGGAGATAATGCAAATCGTACAGTTGGACAGGATTAAGACATGTCTTATGATTACAACTCACCGTTTTCACGCCGTCCGCATGGCGAGAACGGCGTGTACAGGTAATCACGCTGTGGAAGAGGGAAGGAGGGAGGAAAGTAAGATAGGCTGCAAGCATTAGCCATGGGCCGGGTACGTGGAGTGAAAATTACTGTCATTTGTACTGAGTGGATAACTGTGACCAGGTCCTGGGGCAATATGCGATTGCCACCTGGCTTCGGCGTCAGCCACGAAGGCGAAACAAAAATTTAACAATAAGATGATGCTACTGAACATGTCGTTCACGTCAGGCTAATGCCACGCGCATGTGAAATTGTCTTTTTCGAAAATACTCTTGTGTGTCGGGAATTCTAAAAAGTATCCATAACACACCCTCTTTGAACAAAATACTAACAAGTGCAATTGCAATGTAAAAAATATTCGATCACGGATTTTTAAACAACTGGTCATTACACAATTCTACAAACAAGCTAATGAACAAACGGACATAGCCCTTATGAAATATTACTTTTCACCAATGCGGTAATCAGAGCTTTTAAGGGTTCCTGAATGAGCGAAAGATTTATAAGGTTACTTCAACGGCATATCCATCATGATTAACTTATAGATAAACATGATGAAAAATGAATAAGGTTCCCATCCTTTACGTTTTACCACGTAAAAGGGTAGAAACGCCGAAAAGAAG